GCCGACAATTTAGAGATAACTCTTTGTTGCCTTTTCCGGCATCGCCGCTATAATAATGTTATTCGTTATCCTTCCTCCATGCTTAGTTTTCTTTATGTTCGCCGTACCCTGCTCATTCTCCCCATCCTCCTCAGCTCTTTTTTGCGGAGGCTCCTCCTGGGAGAGCCTCTGGGGGTCTCACAAAAGTTGTTTCAGGCTTTCTTAAGGCCTTCTGGAGGCCTCCTGGGCGTATTCTGGGGGCCTCTGGGGACTTCCTCGGGCCACCCTGCCTCCAACCGCGGTCTCCCTGAACGACTGGGTCACGATTTGGAATGCTTTGGAGGGTGTCTTGGGGCCACCTTGGGCCGCCATGGGGTTGTCTGAGGGCCATCTTGGACCCGTGTTGTGCCGTTTTGGGGCTCTCGTGAATTGCCTGGAAGCCCTTTCGGATGGTTGTGGGGCTATGTTGGAGCCTCCCAGGCGGCTTCGGACGCCCAGAAGACCGCCGTCTTGGAGCGTCGGGAAGCCGAAAAGAGGAGAACCCCAAAATTCAGCAAAAAACAAAAGAAAATCAAAGATTTGTGCCTCTTGGGGCCTTCTTGGGAGTGCTCTTGGAGGCCTCTTTGGGGCCGTCCTGGAGGCCTTTTGGGCCATCTTGAGGTCACGTCGGTCACTGTTTGAGTGCTCTTCTGCTGTCTTGGGAGTCTCTGGGACGTCTCCGATGACCCCCTGATCGCCCTAGGTGCGCTGGGAAGGCTTGGCAAAACGCCCTGCGAGGCCCAGGGGGCCGCTTCGAGGCCCGTCCGGAGGGTCCCAAGCCCCATGGGGCTTGGGACCCTCCGGACGGGCGGGTTTTCCCCCCGCCCGGGCTTGTAAAAATATAGGAAGAGGAATATGTATCTGCCCGAGCGCGGTCCGGCCTTCTCTCTGGGCCACCGGGGAGCTTCCGGCGGCTGGATCCAGCCAAAGGATGGGGACGATCGAAATCGGTACGGAAAGAACGGGAACAAAGACCGACAGCTAATGGCGCTAACCTTACAGAGCGGATTTCGTTCGGAAAACGAGAGGATGGGCCCGGATTGTCCCGGAGAATTTCGTACCGGATTTCGAGGTGAATTTCGTGCGAATGTTTTGGGGCGGCAGGAATGAAGATTAACAACATCCACGCGAAATTCACTTCGTTTTTCACTCGCCATGTCGGGGTTGTGCAGTGACAGGAATCTATGCAAAAATCCGCTGCAGCACGTCTGCAAGGTCGGTGCAGTGAGACAGCAGTTCGCTGTTGGTGTCGCCGCGGTCTGTGTCCATTTGAGACAGAAGGCCCCCTGCCCAACAGCGGCCGCTGTTGGTTTGGGACAACATGTGTTGTTCGGCATTGTACCCATATCTGTCCGTACCCATTTCGGGCGTCCCAGAAGGGACTCGTCAGGTGGATTCCCTGGAAGAGGTCCGAGGGCCCTCGCAGTCAGCCACGGCCACGCGCAGAGGGGGCTTGGGGGAGGGGGGAAGGCTTCTTAGAAGCAGCCCTGGTTCTCAGAAGGCGCGGCGCTTGCCTGCAGATGTGAGGCCGCCGCCTTCTGAGAGGCGACCAGCTTCTAAGAGGCCGTCCCCCCTCCCCCCTGCCCCCGTGTGCGCGCCGCCAGCCCAGTGCTCTTCCCCACCCTCCAGGTTGGGGCGGTTGCAGGCAGCCAGTATACACCTTAGGCGATGCTTAAGAAAACTTAAGTTTTCGACCAGAGTCTCGATTATTCTTAATGTTTCAATGTAAATCCCAAGATTTTGATAGAAATTTTGGGTTTTTATTCAAGTTCTGAGACTATGAATTTCTTAACCCATGATTTCTTAAGCATTTCGCAGGGTGTAGTGAGGAAGGGGCAGCCTTCCCAGGAGCCCCCCCCCTGCATCCTTGCCTCCTCGGTCCCTCCTTCGCCGCCTCCGCCGGCCGCGCCCCGCTCGGAAAAAGCTTCGAAGTGGGCGCCCAGGGCCCTTGCATCCTCAAGGGCTCCCTCGAGGGCGCGAAGTTGTTCGCGCTTCGCGCTTCGCGGTCCTCGTTCCTTCTCCTTCTCCTCCTCGTCCTCCTATTCTCCCTTTGGGAGGGCGGCGCGAGAGCGCGAAGTTATTCGCGCTTCGCGCTTCGCGCAGCGCGAAGCGCGAAGTTGGGAGCCCTAGCTGCATCCTCATCGCGCATCCTTGCAATACCGGTTGCCTGTGGACTTCGGGGAGAGGGCTCCCAGCCTGCCTCGTGCACCCCGCACGCGGTCGACCCGCACAGTGGGGCAGGGGAGCGACTGCCCCTAGGCTCAAGTCGGGCAAATTCAAAAATAGTCACATGAGCGTATGGGGCTATGTTTGTAGTGTTTTTTGTTTTTTACCATGGGGGGGTATTTTTGAGGTATTTTGCGTTCTCGTCGAAAATCCCCCTGTAGGGGGGCACGCCCGACTTGACCCCAGGGGCACCCCCTGCATCCTCGCCCCCCTCGGCCCCTCCTCGGCCACCTTCGTGGGCCGCGCCGCGCCTCGAGCAACTCCGAAGCGGGCGCCCGAGGCCCTTGCGTTAGGATGCTCCAACCTGCTTTATAGCCTTGACCACCACAAAGAACCTCGAGCACCAAGAATGGTTCCGACGCTGGAGGGTTTTTTCACGTGTCGTGCCCTGGGAGGCGAGACTCGCTGGACTCTGTTTCGACACTTGTTTGGGATGATGGAAGTCATTTTGGGGATGTGGTCCTGAAGTACGTCAGGAGGAAAAGAAACACACGGACACAATTAATCCTGGATTTCCCAGAAAATATGGGAAAATATGGGAAGTGGGCGGGAAGACAGAAACCCAGAAAATATGGTAAAATATGGGGGATTATTTTATTTGTGTGTATTTATTTGTGTGTCTCAGGGCCCCTTCAGTACGATGGGGACAAAAAAAAACTCAGGAGGCCACGGCCGTCGGGCCCGGAGAGCGCGCCAGTGCTCCCAGTGGTGGCTCGCCCCGTGCTCCCCTCGTCTGCGGCGAGGGGCGGCTGCAGGAAGGATTGCAAAAAAACCTCGTTGAACGAAGGGTTTGTTTGCAATCCTTCGTTGAAGGGTTTTTTTGCAATCCTTCGTTCAAGAGGGTTTTTTTTGCAATCCTTCGCTCCCGCGGCCGCCAGGCCCAACCCGGCGCTTGCCGGTGCTCCCCCGGGGGGGTCCCGCCTCGCGTGTTCTCTCGGGTGGGCATCGCTCTCGAAGCTCACGAAGTCGTTGTATGTCTGGGGCTTCGGTTTTTATTGGTTTTAGTATTATGACTATTGTGCTTATTATGTATATATTATTTTGAGTCGGCGGAGGGTCCGCCGGGGGCGGGGGACCAGTTGTGAAGGTCCCCTGTCAGCGGCGCGGAGGCAAAAGCGCATCTGGCGGTCAGGCACGGAGAGAGTTCCCTTTTTCTCTCAGGGGGGGGCGGCCGCGCGAGGGCGTGGAGGCAAGAGTTGAGCAGGCCAGAGGATCATGGATCGCCCTCCTCTAGGTTTAGGTCGGGCATCTTCCCCTACAGGCGGATTTTGGGCGAAAGATAGAAACTGCTAACCCAAAAAACCCAAAGTAGTGAAAAAATAGTCGAAGCATCGTCCTCAGGCTATTTTTTACTAGTTCTCAGTATGCCCTCCTGTAGAGGGACAGGCCCGTCTTAACTCTAGTAGACCACGACCAGAACGGGGGCGTCAATGTCGCACAATTCCGTGCCAGGTAAACCTGGTGGCAGTTCGCAGAAGCTGTTTTCTCACGCATGCTTGCGGTCTGTTTTGACGACAAGTGTTAGATCACCATTTCCATCTACTACGCGTGATTGAGGTTTTTTCGGACTATACCTCAAGCGTCGCACTTGCGAGATTCGCAATGCCCTGAGGCGCATTACAAATATTGCGAAGGGTCCTGTTGGCGAAGCCAGGACCGTGCGACCTCAGACATGAGGACGCCCCCGTTTCTGCTTCGCCGAGCCCGAGGTCCGCAAGCGGGCCATGATCGCGGGATCGAGCAGACCATGTGCTCTGCGAAAAACCTGTGCATCTTCGACGGCAGACCTGCATCCGCGCACGCAGGGCCTCCGTGGCAGCGGCCCCGAGGCAGTGCTCGGAGTGGAGCAGCCATCCTGCGGCAGGTTCGCGCCGCGTCGACCGGCGACGATTCGCCGCGGGCGTTCAAGGTTGAACGCCGCCGGTGGCCCAGAGTCGGCCTACATGGAACGATCGGGCGATCGGAAAGCCGCCGATCGTTCAAGGTTGAACGATCGACGCGGTGTCAGAAACCAGCGCCAGGGTCGTCACGACACGAACCTGCCGTACCCGAGCGCGAGCCTAGCATGGCAGCCTCCTTGCGTGGCCTGGGCAGGATCCCGCCCGACTGCGTTCTTCTCAGTAGGACAAGTTTCGTCCCGTGGACCGCAGATGCCATCGTGGGCAAACAGCGTGCCCACACATCCCGAGCGTCCAATGTTCCCGCCACCTTGGGATCGTCTATGGGCTCGTGTTAATGCCATCCTGAGGTCATATCTGGATCATGTTGGGACCATATGTGCCATTCAATATCATGTTGACGCCACCGTGGGGTCGCCTGGGGGTCATCTTGCGGTCATCGGGCCATTTCGGGATCACCAGTTGCTCATTTTCTGGCTGGGCGATCGTGGTGGTTGCCCTGATGACATCTAGAAGTCATGCAGGCGTGATGCAGGGATCACGGGGCCGTCTTGTTGTCTTAAATTCCTCGTCCGGTTGGGTGTCTTGCGGCCATTTGGATCGTATGTTCGGATCACGGGGCCTACTTGGCATCGTCTTGGTGCCGCCTGGAGGCCTTTCGCGGTTCCAAGTGCGCTTCTGTTACGGCCAAGTAGCTTCGAGGCCGCAGTGCAAGAGAGTAGAGCGCTGGGGCCCTTCCCTTCGGACGGCTGGGGGCCTCCCATTGTCGAGTTCTCAACGGAGGATTGCCGACGACCCGAGGGCTTCACTGGCGCCAGGCGCACGGTGTCAGATTTGCGCCCCCCGCGCCATCCCCGTAGCCTTTGACTCAAAAGCACTGGTTCCAGAAGGAGGCTCACATCCTTCTTGAGCGGCGGCCGTGCTGACCAGGGCGAAGACATGGGGCGAAAAGGCAACCGCAAGTATAACAAGCCTGCGGATTCCACAGCGAATCAAGGTCCGCAGCGCTCGGGCTGGAAGGCGGCAGGACAGGGCCGGCGTCTGGGAGGAGAGGAGCCATCATGGGCGGCGGCGGTTGCAGCGCACACCGCTACAACCGATTCGCGTGCTTCAGGTTTGCCCAATTGGGCGCCTCCAGGGTGTCGACGCATTCGTGAGGGAGGAGACGGCAATTGTCTGTTTCACGCCATTGCCAGGCAAGCCCTTGGGGATACAAATCTTGACGGCCACGCTAGAGCAGAGATTTGCGATTGGATGCAGCAGCACCTCGTGCCATCAGACGTTGCTGCTGGGCGCTCCCCGATGGCCCCCATGCATCGCCAGATGCTGGAGGCCCAGCGAGGTGAGATTTTCGCACCTGGAAATGGCAAGGGCGATGCCATGCTGCGACTCTACCTGCAGAAAATGAGGTGCAGTGGCACTTGGGGCTCTGGCTTAGAAGCGCTTTGTGCGGCGTATGTCTACGGGCGGCCGGTCCATGTCTGGAATCCAGATGGTGTCTCTATCTTGGATCCGCCGTCTGAGAAGATGCTCGCAGAAGCGAATCCCATACGTTTGCTGCACAACGGCCGCAACCACTGGGATTCAGCACTGCCATCGGCTGCCGATAGGATGGAATGCACTGCCGGCGAGGTGGCCGCTGATGAAGACGCAGATCTCGCTGCGGCCGTGGCCGCCAGTATTCAAGACTTTGATTTGTGTTCTGGTGCTGCCGACAGCCTTGGCAGAGTCAAGCACGAGGGTTCCTCGGCGGCGGCGTCAGCCCCGTCTGATGATCATCGTGCCTTGCAGCGTGCTCTGGCAGCATCGGCGGCCGCTGCCCGGCAAGAGAGGGCAGACGCTCACGGATTGGGCGATGCCACGCGGGCGGCCGAGCTCAGGAGCAGGCAGGAGAGGAACGAGCTCCTGGGTAGGCTAGCAGAGCGTTGCGAGCGGAAGGGTGAAGCTTTACCGTTCGGGGCAGGTCTGGCGTCACGTGAGCAGCTCCAGTCTGCTGCTCGCGCGCGGGCACAGGCTCTTGAAGTCGATGGCGTCGTGATCAACCCGAGGCCATGCGAAAGCCAAGCGGACTCCGCCACAGCTTCGTTTCGTCTTGCGGGCAGCGACCCCAACCCCCTGCCCGCCAGCTCGGCATCCAGCACCCTGGACACCGCTGCAGCTTCCAGGCGCCGCTGGGGGCGGCAGCGGGTTCGCCAGCCTGCCGTGGACAACGGCAGTGCGCAGGACCAGAGCCGCTCCGATGCAGCAGCAGCACCGTGCTCGGGAGCCCTCTCGGACCTCGCAGCGGATGCTGCCGCCGCCCCAGCTGCCGACGGCGCGGTGGGCTCGGTGCAGGGACGGCCCGTGCTCCGACTGCAGCTGGTGGAGGAGGACGGGTGCGGGTATGCACCCGGCACGGATTCGCTTGAGGATTGCGTCGCTGCCTTGTGCCGGCTGGGGTTCACCGTGGAGGAGTCGGCTGGTATCATCGAGTGCTGCGATGGGGAAATCGGCCGAGTGAAGGCGCTCTACGGCATCGCGTGGGAGGGCGACAAGACCGTACAGACTCTATTCGACGGGCACGGTTGAGTGGCCACCTGGATGAATTTAGCAACGTGTTTGATACACATGCGCTGACTCATATGAGTCTCATCTGTGCCTGTCTGCGAGTATGTTCTTGTTTGTTGCGTCGGTGTTCGCACGGAGCAGCGTGCCGCCCGCTGAGTCCTGGGAGGCGTCCTCCCTGAGCTTCGGCCACCGCATCCGATGTGCAGGTTTCTTTTCCTGGTCGCTGGTCATTCGTACGTGACGCTCACCCTCGACTTGAGCATGTTTGTATTGGCTGTGCAGAGCGGGTTTCTGCCCTGGTCGTGTTGCCCTCCCGTGGACCTCGGAAGATGGTCGATGCAGGAGCTGAAATTTTTGACTCTACCCGTGCCACCCACCAGTCCATTCATAAACGATGTCCCAGCGAGTTGTCTTGATCAGGGAGTAGTAGGGGCAAGCAGTGGAGCAAAGAGAGGGGCAGCCGTGAATCGAAGTTTGGGATCAGCCTGAGTACACCCAGACGTCAACCACCATCAGTGCCTGTGAGTTTTATTTGGTACGAGAGCTTCCTAGAAGCTTACCTGTGCCATCGCATGGGCCTCTCAGGAAAATGTTTGAGGACATCTTGCAGTTCAGTTTCACACGCAGGTGGTGGTCCTTAATTAGCATTGCCACGTCGGAGCTAGAACCAACGCCACTTGGGGCCCTCTTGGGACTCTCCTGGGACCCTTCAGGGGGATGTTTGGGGCAGGCTTGGCCATCCTGGCGCCCTATTAGGGCTCTTTGCAGCGATCTTGGATCCCTGTGGATGCCTCGAATGCTTGTATGGGCGGGACGGTATTCATCAGCGAAGCGCGCGTATGCGTTTCAATTGTTTGGCCTTTTGGTGGCGACCTGGAGAAGCTTCAATACCAGTTGATGCCGTATTGCGTCGGTCGTGGGTCTTGTTGGAGGCATGCTGGACGTCACCTTGCGCCATCTTGGATGCCATATCCTGGGCTATTTGGGGCCTTCTTGGAGCCGCGCTGGGTCAGCCCAGTACCCCCCCCCCCCCCCCCGACACCTCTCCCCGTCCAGGTCCGGGGGGGGGGTAGGTCACCACCCACCAAACCACCCCAACCCAACCCGAAGGCCCAAATTTACTATTGATTTCCAGTGGGGGTGGGGGTCGGGCAACATTGAACAAACACATGGAACCCGTACCCCCCCCCCCACCCGAAATTCGGGTCACATTCGAGTCTTCGGGTCGGGCTGTGGTGGTCTGGTAGGTACTCAGTAGGGGGGAACACGTTTCAACGGGAGATGTCACAGTCTCGCTCGCTCCCATTCCAGCATGGGCAGCAGGTGCTCCAAGGAGGAGGAGGAGGAGGAGGAGGAGGAGGAGGAGGAGGAGGAGGGGGAGGAGGAGGGGTGCTCTAGGTGCCCAGTGGGCCCAGGCGAGCCAGGTGCGCCAGATGCGCTACGTGCGCCAGTTGTTGTGCGGCATGCTTTGGCCGCGCCAGGTGCGCCAGGCGCGCGACGCGCGCAGGGCGCAGCAGGTGCGCCAGTGCACGTGGCAGCACGCATCGGGCAACTGTTGGCACTCGCTCCATCCGTGTCGAGCAGAAGCTGCTGCAAAGTGGTGTCCTCCTCCTCCTCCTCCTCCTCTCCTCCTCCTCCTCCTCCTCCTCCTCCTCCTCGGGTGGTGAGCACGGTGTTTGGCGTGCGCACCCACAGGCCACAGGAAGCTCGCGGGTTCACCCCAAATAGTACCTGCACTCAGGATCTCTTGCTCGTCTCGCTTGAAAGGACAGGGTCGGGTGCCCCCCCGTGAGCGCCTCGTGGGCGCTCTGCGGTTGTTCGGGTATGCGGAGGTTTCGCCTGGTGCCCGCCCGTGGGCGCCTCGTGGGCGCCCCGCGTTGGGGGGAGTAAGCCTACTCTTTCGCCTGTTGCCCGCCCGTGGGCGCCTCGTAGGCGCCCGTGTGCGCCCCGCGCTGCGGGGGGGTACGGAGGTTTCGGCTGGTGCCCGCCCGTTGGCGCCTCGTGGGCGCCCCGCGCTGGGAGGGGGTGTGGAGGTCAAACTCGGGAGGCAGTTCGTTTTGCACCCCCCCCCCTGTTTCTCCCGGCAGGGAACAAACTCACTCCTCCTCCTCCTCCTCCTCCTCCTCCTCCTCCTCCTCTGCCTCCCCCTCCCCTTCAGTTCTTTGTTATATATATATATATATGTTCTGGCTGTAGCACCCCGAGGTAAGTTTTTAGGACGGGCCGAGCGTTTTGCCGGAGGCTGCCTCACCAGTTATGATTCTTAAGCTTACAGGTTGACAACAGCTTCACAGATGGAGGGCGGGTCGCTTTCAAAATGTGGTTCTCGCTTTAGCGCGGCACATATTTGTTTTCAACACTTGCAAGAGCTTCACGGATTGAGGGCGGCTCCTTTCCAAAATGTAATTCTCGCCTTAGCGCGGCGCACCTTCGTTTCAAACGTTTGCAAGAGTTTCACGGGTTGAGGGCGGTTCTTTTTCAAAAGGTGGTTCTCGCCGTAGCGTGGCGCACATTCGCTTTAAACATTTGCAAGAGTTCCAGTGGTTCCCATCATCTACATGCCAGAAGTGGCGTTCTGAAAGGATTCAGGATTATGCGGTCGCAACAGTTTTGTTGATTTGCTGTGTTGAAATTGTAGAAATGGCGTTCTGGCGCAATTCAGGATTGGCAAGATGCAACAGTCAGTTCGATCCGTGGCGTTGGAATCCCGAGAACAATATTTTGGCATGCTTCAGGGTCTTCAAACGGTTGTCATCCAAAGAGGCAGTTCCTTATATGGAAATGAACCGTTGTAGGGGCCTAAGAAGAGGGAGCTCGGAGGGAGGGTTTATTCCAACATCATTGATGAATCTTGGGTTTACACTGGTCCTCCTCCTCCGCGTCCTTCTCCTCCTCGTCCTCCTCTCCTCCTCATCCTCCTCTTCCTCCTCCTCCTCCTCCTCCTCCTTCCCCCCCCTTTCTTCCTCCTCCTCCTACTCCTCCTCGTGGTCGTTGTCGTCGTCGTTGTCGTCGTCGTCGTCGTCGCGGCGGGGATTATTTTCCCTTTATTGGTGGGCGGGCTGGATAATGTTGAGGGTTCCTTCTCCCAGGGCGTAACCTATTGTGGCCTACCCTACACGCAAGAGGATCCGTGAGCGCATCTTCTCAAGAGGATCGCAATAGGCCTCAGTAGATTTGGTTGTAGTCGTGATTGTTGTCGTGGTTGTAATCGTGATTGCAATCGTGATTGTAGTCGCGATTGTAGTCGTAATCGTTTGAGGGGGTTTCTGTCGAACTCGCGTCATCCTGACCCCCGGCGCGCGAGAAAGTAGCCTTCCAGCGCACCCGCAGGGACCATTTCTGGGGATGCGCCGGGCGCGTCGGGCGTGTCCCAATCTGGCGCCTTCGCTCGAGACATCCTCGCAAAAATCGCCATCGGTCCCCGACGCGCACCCAAGGGAACATTTCCGGCGATGTGCCGGGCGCATGTCCCAATCCGGCGCCCTCGCTCGAGGCATCCTCGCAAGAATCACTCCACGGGCCCCGGCGCGCCTCAAGGGAAAATTCCCAGGGATGCATACGGGCGTGTCCCAGTGTGGCGTTCTCTCGAGACATCCTCCCAACAATCGCTCACGGGCCCCAAGCGCGCCCCCAGGCCCCACGGGCCCCCAGCGCAGCCCCGGGGCTCGCTCGAGACCTCTTCGCAGACATCGCCCGACGCGGGCCCCCAGGCAACCGCAGGCACCGCGTTCAGGGATACACTGGGCGCGCCGGGTGCACGGGGCGTGTCCCCTACTCCAGACGTTGAGGAGGATAATGAGGAGGAGGAGGAGGAGGAGGAGGAGGAGGAGGAGGAGGGATACCCTCCAGGGGCGATCCTGATCCTCACCCTCCTCATGCTCAATCCTCACTCTCCTCGTGATGCTCACTCTGCCGATCCTCGCTCCGCCGATCCTCCCTTTCCTGCTCCACACTCGCCCGATCCTCACCCTGCTGGTGTTATTTATCCTGATCCTCGCTCTCCTGACCCTCATTCTCTACATCCTCACCTTCCTGCTCCAGGATCGCCTGAGCCTCCCCCGGGTGACCCTCACTCCTCCCCCTCGCGAGCCTGGCCCTCCTGATCTCATCCTCACCCGCCGCGCCACCGCTTCCCGCTCATTCACCTCTCGCCCACAATCGCATACCCCTTCTTCTATATAAGTAGCACCCCGCATATGCGGATAAGAGTGAGGGGGCGGTGGGGACGTCGGCAGTTTGCGAGACTCTGGAGAAGCCCGCCGCAGGCGCCAAAGTTTTACAAATCATACAGCGAGCCCGCCGCAGGCGCCGATTTTTTCGTTAAACCAATGTGGGTAAGTCGCGGGTGGGGCAAATGGGTCGCAGGTGGGTCGCGGGTGGGTCGCTGTTGGGTCGCGGGTGGGTCGTGGGTGTAGAGGGCAAAAAATTCTCCCCATAATAATCACGCCGACAAGCGAAGCCCTTTAGTAAACGCACACAAGGAATGAATCGAACAGGGCAGGGCTGTTTAGTCAACGCCCAGGGCCGTTTAGTAAACGTAAATTGTCGGGTCCGGGTGGTTTTTCCTCCCTTGAGGGTGGGTCGCGGGGTGTGTCGCGGGTGTGTCGCGGGGTGGGTCGCGGGTGGGTCGCGATGGGTCGCGGATGGGTCTCGGGGTGGGTCGCGGGTGGGTCGCGGGGTGGGTCGCGAATGGGTCGCGGGGTAGGTCGCGCGGTGAGGTGCGTCGCGGGGTGGGTCGCTGGGTGGGTCGTGGGGTGTGTCGCGGGGTGGGTCGCGGGTGGGTCGCGGGTGGGACGACGACAACAACAAACAACATTCATAGCAACAACAACAGCAACAACAACAATCACAACAACACAAACAACAACAACCACAACCACAACGACAACAGCAGCAGCAACAACAACAACACACACACTCATTTTAAGATTGTGTGCTCCTATCTGTTCACGTGCTACAGAAATACGTATATCCCAACACCTCAGTACCCGCCCTCGTCGTCTTCGGTCGTACCCCCTTGGGGGTATATCTTCCTTACCTGCCACGTGTATTGAGTTCAGCCCCTAAAACAAGGGAAGAGAGGACGGGTGGAAGTGGGAGGGATAATCATGGAGCACGAGAGAAGTTAGTAGGAGGGGGGCAAGGAGCAGGGAACAAGTGGTAGAACCAGATGGGCAGATCGGGTGGGCAGACCCATAGCGGGCAGGTCGGAAAGGCGGGCCCAGGCGACGAGGTCGAGCAGGCGGGTTGTGGGTTGCTGAAGCGTGGGTCCTGCGTGAATCGCGAGGAAGTCTCGAGCGATAGCGCGATTCCTAAGCAAATTGTGAGAAAAGCCAGCGTGGGCCACGAAGGGCATAAAATCCGAGGCCACCGATTGCAGCGACGGGGCCGCTGAGGGCAGCAC